CCTAATACTGTCTTAGCTTGAAATCACTTGGCTAGTCCTATCTTGGCTGCTACAAATTTGGGTATTTGGGAATTTAGCCTAATTAAGGTGCTTTTGAATATCTCATGAAGTACCTATTTGCATGTTTAGATATTTTATACCTTTAAAACTTTGATTTAAGGAATTTGGGTTTAAGCACTGTAGTGTATTAGGCATGAGTGTTTTTCGTTTTTTTTTTTTCTTTTCCATGAGACTTGGGCAGTTTTGAAAATGTACTCTTTTGTCTTTTAACTATTTAGTATATTCATCCTTTAGGAATGGAAATACTGTGTATTTTTAAATGATAAAAAGTGAGAAACTTCTAAAGAAGCACCAACACACATAGCATGTAAACTTTGGCCTAGATAACTATAGGGAGGAATAAGGTTTTAATTTTGACTGCATTAAAATTATGCTGCTGTTCTTTTGTAACCTTTTAAGAGTTGCAGCCTACATATCTTTCTTTTAATTTTAATAGGGGCCAGCTACCTGTGTTGCCTTTTCAAGGACTGGGGATTTTTTTGCATCTGGAGGTTCTGATGAACAGGTATGTATTTGTTTGCCTGCTCAAAATCATGGTTTATAGATTCTTGCTTTAAATGGGGAGGGATGATGGAACAGAAAAGTCATCTAAGAACGATACAGAAAATTGGGAAACAGAATCCTTATGTGGTCTCTTTGTCTTTTTAAGATATTAATTTTTTAAAAAATGGGTAGTGTTGAGGAAAGAAGTCTAGAGATGAAAGAAATACAGCCACTTGTTCATTGGGATGTTGTAACTTTTAGAGACACTTCTTCCAACCCTAACAAAACATCCCATCTTACTTCAATTCCCCCAAATCACCCAATCTTACTCATCCAATCACTTCAGACTCCAGCCTGTTCATCATCAAGTTTTGTGTCAAGTACACACTTGGAGCATATACTGTCCAATCAAATTCACCTCCTCATGCAGGCTGCAACAATTTCCATCATCAAACTTTGTATCAAACACTCGCTTGGTAGGTTTGCCAGTGAGCAAAAACAAAATAACCTTTATTCATTATCAGTTGGCAAGTCAATTTTTCAGGGGAAAAATGCCAGGGTACACAAATCCAAAGTTCCCCTGCAAATGTGAACTTTATGAGCTTTATGAACTTTCATGAACTTTATGTACATTAATTTTATTTTTCCTTGAACTAGACAATCACAGGCTAACACACGTACACACTTCTAGATACTGTTTCTGCATTTCCTTGACTATTTTGTCAACTTCCAAATCAGCCTGGAAAATATGCTTTGATAGATGAGATTATTAATAAAAGGTGTAACAATGCTGTTCTAGGTTTTAACATTCTTGTTAAGTTCCAGGGTAGAAATTAGGGAATTTAATTCTGAGCCTTTGGCTTTGCCAACATGAGTTATAATTGGAAGGGAAAAGTAAAAGCCAGTAGAATCCTATTATTACTTTTAAAGGAAAAGTTTTAAAGCAGCTAGATGCACCCCAGGGAATTTATGCACAGGAAAATTCAAAATTATGAAAAATTAATTACTTTTATTTATTTTTACAAATGAAACTAAATATAACACTATTTGAAACTTTAGAAATATATTCAGGTACTATGTATGGTTGGGGGGATGAGTCTGGCAGGGATTTGTGAAGGTTTAGGAGGGGGTCGGGGGGTTGTATAGTGTTAACTCATCAATATTTTAACTAGAGTTCACAGATTAATTTATATTGGGGTGGACAGGCAACTTTATTAAAATACTGAGGTGAAAAGTGTGATAGAGAGCCATAAGGTTTAGCCAGGTAACCTAAGTGTTAAAGCTTAGGCTGGATATCTTCTGGGCTTCATAGGAGAGTTTGCACAAAATAATATATTCCTGAGTATGTGTTTAAACCAAATGTAAGTATACTGTCAGATAGAATATAAGTTATAAAATTGGATAGAAGAGTAAAAGAAAAAGTTATATTAACATATACCAGAGTCACACAGCAACTGTCAGTGTAGAAACACAGATATAAGTTGACGTTGTTTCGAAACTCTGGCTGCTGGCCCACAAATTCAAACTCCCCCTCTCGTGCAAAACAGTCTTTTCTTTCTCAAACAGTCAGCTGTTACAGAGATTATGTATGCCAAACCTTTTTATAGTCAGACATTGACCCACTCTGGTAAATACTTCTTTCAGACTATCGGGTAAATGTTCACTATCCTTCCTGCCTTCCACATCCTTAGCTTTGCTTTCTCTGGGCTTCCTGAACAAAAGCAGAGGCTAAGTCCACCGTCCCGGTATTGGGGTCAGGGTGATATTTTACCACAAGCTGTGATTCTTGTGGCTCTAGGAATATTATGCAGAAAAATTACCAAGGGCTCGATTAGAGAAGAACTATGTCCAGATATGATTCTCCAGGAGCTCACTTCATTACCACCCATGACTGCAACAGAATCAGCACACCTCACTGATCACAACCTCCCTCTCTGGAGCAGAAACCCCCTCCTATACTTATATACAAGCTAAACTCAGACTGTTATCCCCCCAGATCACCCCATCTTACTCATTCTCTCACTTCAGACTCTAGCCTGTTCATCATCAAGTTTTGTATCAAGTACACCCTTGGAACATATATTGTCCAATCAAATTCACCTCCTCATGCAGGCTGCAACAATTTCCATCATCAAATTTTGTATCAAACACTCGCTTGGACCATATCCTGTCTAATCAAATGTGTGCATATGCTACCGCACTATTGCACATAGCACCATGCCTTGCACTCAGCAAGTAGATATTCACCACTATGCATGCTCCACAGCAAGACTAGGTCACTTTTGTCAGCAAAAGGCAAGAATTCACTCTTGCTAGAATAATCTGAACTGACTACTACACATGTGCAGTAGAAGATCTTACATACTCAATCAGCAACTATAACAACTTAAGCAGGGGGACTGTCCAGTGGACTAAAAGTTCCTCTCATCATTAGCACTTGGGGCCATGGCTCTTGGAGCTCTCCATGGACCTGTGGGGAACCCCACTGAGTGGATGACAGTACCATGGGCTGGATCTGGTTTACAGACACCACAGTCCTTAGACCCCTGCTTTGCAGGGTCCCAGGCTCATTTGGGTTGGAGGGCTTAGAATTGGAAGTTGTCAGGTGCTAGGAGAGCTGTATAGCCTTCTTCTGATGGTTCCTGTAGGTACTCTGGGGTCCCCCCAGGAATTCTATGACTTGTCAACATCTGCCCTAAAAGCCATTTTGTCAATTTTACCTTCCTGCTATGGACCCAGCAGGTGACTTTTAGAACTGGTCTTGCAAAAAAAAGTGAAGATCTTAGGAGGGATAGTGAGAGGCTCTGGGGGGTACCCAAGCCCCTGGGCACCATGGGCAGGGGGTTACTTCATTCCCTGAGTACCTGGAAATCCCTTCATTTCCAACCCTGCTCCCCAAATGAATTTTGGATCCAGCAGCTGCAGGGTCAATAGCACAAAGATGAGATTGACTTAAATTGCTTCAGAGCAGAGGTTGAAAAGTTGTGGGAGGAAGATAGGGATACATGATATCCAGCCCTTTAGGCACCAGAAGCAACTGGCCAGTTCTTCCACCGTATACTTGCCCCAAGTGAGCCTGCGGCCTCATAACCCAGGGTCCATAGCAGGGAAGTGAGATTGACAAAATACCTTCCAATGCAGGTCTTGCAAAAGACTAAGAAGGATGCAAGGGTTATTTTAAAAGTATTACTAAAAAAAAAAAAAACTCTTAAAAGAATTAAGTAAAGGAGATATAGTAGATGTAACACATTTGTGCAGTAATAAAACATAAGAGATAATTAAATTTAAATTGAAAATGTAATGCAAGCTGGCTTGAATGAAAACATGCTTCTATGGAATGACACCATAGGCTGCAGATAAAGAATCACAGGAAAAAAGCAGCTTTTTGACTTTGGGCCCTCTTTCTTTGTTTCCTTCCTAGAAGTAAAAAAAAAAAAAAAAAAAAAAAAAAAAGGTTTTAGGTAGGCCCTGGAGCACCCAGTCTCTCAAAAACCACAAGCAGGGGTCAATCAGAAGCACCTGAAAACCCCTCCACCCCTCCATTATTCTCCCACCCTAGACAAGCTTGGGACCCTACAGAGCGAGATCCATTTTTTTGTAAAGAGTCCAGGCTTTTTTACCTATGCGGGCTCTGGATTTTGGACCCAGATGCCTTGTTCCGGGGGGGAGGAATTTATTGATGCACAGTGATAACAGAAAAGAAACAATACAAACAATCGAGCAATTCTATATATCTACCAAATCCTAGGGCTGTCATCAGAGTCAAATTACATCTGGCCAGGATGCAGTCTTCACTCTGAGGCTCTCCCTTAGGTGTCAGATGTCGGCAGTCTAGAGGTGGGATGCTGAGGCCCACACCCCTCCCCACCAGTGGGGTGGATGAGAAGGGCTGGTGGTGTACCCTCTGCCCATGGTGGCCTCAGGGACCCTTGACGGGGACCCTCTTGGGGAGGAGGAGGGACCTGGGCGGAGGGATCCTTTGTTACTCCTCCCAAGTCTCTGCTTTTGTGTTCTCCTTCCCTCCTGCTGACTTCATCTGTAGCTATCGCTGGTTGGTGTCTCTGTGTTGTTCTCGCACATCTACATCCTGTGTTAACAATACATTCCAATCCCATCACCCTTCCCAAAATAGTAATTCTAGGCCTCCCTCTTTGGCCTTGTGAGCAGGTGCCACCTTATCTCATGTTATGGGCAGTGTAGTGCATGTCCTCCTCTGTTATCCAGACTCTGTCCTTGTTAGCCTGTTGTGTTAGCCTGTCTGCTTCCAAGGTTGTGTGAAAGTATGTGACCCAGACTCTTGGAAATCAGTTAACCCCTGCTGTCCATCCTGAACCATTCTAATGCATATACCTATGTGCTAATTCCCAAAAAGCAAACCTTTAAATACCATTTTCTAAGCCATCAACCTGTTTACCCCTCATCAATTGCACAGATTTTGGTAAAATGTAACAGTATTTGTTATTAAACTTGGCCTTTTTTTAACTCAGTGTTTTTGAGAAGGGGGAACAGAAAACTGCAGTTGTGTACAATGACACCTTCCTCTTAATTGGCATCCAGCCAATCTGGGTCTTTCTCCTCCTGTAGTGGATGCTAGGGAAACTCTGAGCACTAACTACTGGAAGACATGATAGTCTGGGTACTCTACCGCTCCCTGGTGGCGTATGAGCAACAGTGCAAACCCTTGTCATCCTGATGAGAAGTGGCCAGTGGTGTCCCATGGGGGTCAGTGCTTGGTCCAGTACTTTTCAACATCTTTATCAATGATTTAGATGTGGGGGTGAAGATCTCACTGGCCAAGTTCACAGATAACAACAAGTTATGGGGAAGTGTAGTCACGCATGAAGATAGGCTAGAGATACAGGGCGGATCTAGACAGGCTAGCAAGTTGGGTGCATTGGAACCAGATGAAGTTCAACATTGAGAAATGTAAAGTGCTCTACCTGGAGCGAACAACCCCCTACACACCTGCAGGCTTGGCGGTGCCAAACTGACCAGCACCATGAATGAAAGGGACCTGGGGCA